TGGGCTCGGTGAGCCCTGTGATCGTAGACACAAATGCCGCGCCTCTGCGCCCCACCTCACCCCTGCCGACAGAGCAATTTGTGCGATTGGACAGTTAGCAATTAAGCGTGCCGTGATACGTCAGCACCTGAGTGCAGTCGCTCCAATCTCCAGACATTATTAATATAACAAACTGTACGCACTGCTGAGTTCTAGTAGGAAGATTCGGATCTGTACACAGGTAGGCGAAGGAAGAGAAGCCATCGAGGAACAAAAGCGAAACAATACCAAGTTAGAACACCAAAGAAGCGGGGGTCGTCGCAATGACTGAGAAATTTGAGTTCCCACTTAAAGATGCCTTTTCTCTTGTGAGCGTAGGGAATCGAATTATTCAGTTTGGTTTGGCAGCTTTTCAATGCTGGAACCGAATAAGTGAAAACAGGGCTTCCCAACAATTAGCAACGACCCCGCTGCGTGGATCCACCATCACATACCACCATCACATACCAAACCCTAGCCAAAGGGGAACAAGATGCACTCAGACGTCTACAGAAGGACAAAAACTTGTAATGCTACCAGCGGACAAAGGGCGCATGACAGGGATAGTGGACAAACCGGAGTATATTAAGTAGGCCAAAGAACTGCTACCCGACACAACTACATATCGCCAGATCGATCAAGATCCAATTTCAAAACTGGTCAACCAGATGAACGCAACGATGAAGAAACTACAAACGATGAACGAGCTCACCGTTACGGAGAGATGGAGAGTGAAAACTGATGATGCAAACATTGTACTTTTCTATGGACTACCAAAAGTACACAAAGATGGAGTCCCACTACGACCAATCGTCTCGCTCCCCGGAACCCCATCATATAAACCAGCGAAGGATTTGTGGAGGAGGTTGGAACATTTCATTGCTGGATCCGGACATAGCATCAACAATGCTAAAGAATTTCTTAACGAACTGCGGTATCAGAATAGAAGACGACGAAATAATGCTCCACTCAGTGTCACCGCACTCTTCACTTCAATCGGTCACGAACTGGCCAAAGAAACCATGATGGAACCACTTGAGAACCAACTAAGCCCAACGACAACCATACGACCTGAAAGCTTTGGGAATCCCTGAACCTCCGCATGACCACCTATTTCCTCTTTAATGGACAAGTGTACCAGCAACTGCGAGGAGCATCCATGGGATCTCCAATTACAGGGTTCGTCACAGAGGCCGTAATGCAGAAATTGGAGCGCATAGAACTGTCAGCCATTAGCCCAGGACGCTGGACTCGAGACGTAGAAGATAAATTTCTCATAATAAAATGGAACAGAATAAAGGCCACGCGCGAATTACGCAACAGCACATTCGAAGATATCAAAGATACGATAACAAGTTAACATTTTCGGATGTACTGGTCACTAGGAGTACCGACGGATCTCTGCAAACGTGCGTATATCGGAAAAAACACATACGGACCAGATATAAAACTACCCCAGCAACCACCCAATGTATCACAAAAAGAGCTGCATTCAAACGCTGTTCAAAATAGCGGAAACGCACTACAGCACAGCCGAATCGCGGAACCAGGAAGAAAATCACCTGTATCGAGTGTTTGGAAACAGTGGTTATCCGAGAACTTTCATCAGAAGAAGCCTACAGAAACGAATATCACAGCAGCAACAGCAGCAGAAGTCATCCGAGCAAGCAAACAAACGGATGGTGCTCCCCTACATCAAGAACGTCTACGAACTAACAGGAAGATGGCTGTAGTCACATGGAATCTCTGTGGCTCAAAAACCAAGTGCCAACCTGAGGAAATTGATCTCAAGACCCTAAGAAAAAGTCAATCAAGCCGACTAATGCAATGTCATCTACCAGATAAGATGTAGCCACTGCGATAAAAACTATGTAGGACAAACTGGAAGAAAGCTTTGTATACGGATCACCGAGCACAAGGCGGCCGACAGAAGACATGACCCGCACTCATTGCTTTCTGCGCACGAAGATCAAGACCACCATTTAGATCTGGAGAATGTAAAGATCCTAGCAAATAGGAGTATAAGACATGCCAGGGAGTTTCTGGAAGCCTGGTACTCTACAACGAATTCAATCAATCGACACATCGAACTGGACGCAGTATACACAGCACTACTGGCGAACGATCGCCAACTCGATCGATTGAATCCGGTGGAACGTGTGACTAGACAACCAGAACTGACGACAGCCTCGCTCACAAGAGCAAGCAGACGAAGGCCACGAAACACAAGGGGGCAAGATCAAAGGCCATCTGCCCATCAATCAAGCTGCACGTGAATCGAAGGCCCAACCAACAGGATTGCTCGTCTCCACGGGCAACCACGGTGGCATAAAAACGCACGGACACCACGTTTGGCGCACTCTCACCGAGCGTCCTCTACGCTACTCTACGCTAGGGCACGCCACTCAAGTACACACTGATGTCACCTCGATTGGTGACGAGACGTTTACAACAAAATCGCCATGCTCAGCAAACAGTTCAATCGCCATATGAACATATCATTTCGCAAGTAGGCACGAAGCAAGCTACTTACGTAGAAGCATCGAGGTGATGAAGTACCTAACAGAGAAACGCACAAAAATCGCCCAACCATCCTACATTACAGATTTATAGTGTCGATGTAGGATACAATGCCATTCACAAGCAGGGTGTCTCTGGTGTTCACCAGCTGCTGGTTTGATTTAGACTCAGCATTCAGCTAAACATTGAAATGCACCAACACCCGGCTCCCATGTACTACTGCGGATGGCGTGGTTAGCCGTGGTAGAAAAAAAGGATTTAGAAATAGTTGTCTGTCAGTTTCAGATCTCAGGTGGATAAATGGAAGGAAATTTCACCCACACCCATCCACCCCGTATAGGACTCAAACCTGATGGATCGCTCGCTAACCTAGTGACAGAATTTCCCTATTGTTGCTGTTTTAATTTTAAAGATACAGGAGGCACTGAAATTACGAGGTTCTCTGCCCAAGTACACAGGTAGAACAGTTTTACAAAAAAACTGAAGGGGAGAGAGCATGATTAAAAAACCACTAACGTACATAAACAATTGATCAAGAAAAACGAGAAGTTGCATTTAAGGGATATGCTGAAGAAAGCAAAAGAGTGTACGAAGGATGATCGTTACGTGGCTAAGGGGGAAACAGCTGCGGCCATCACAAATGGATGTAAAGAGTAAAAGTGCTATCTTAGAAATTTAATTTAAAAAACTGTTAAAATTAGTAAAAAATACAAGTACATAAAAAGCGAAAACAAACTCGATGATTAGGTTTCCGAGCTGAGTAATTTGATCTCAGACACTTCGACACCAGTGGAGGTGGCACCTTCCGTGAACTTGTCAGGAGAGATGAAGTTAGCGCACATCAATGGCAAACCGCGTATGGAGACGAAATGCAAACGAGAGACACACAAATCTCATCCAAAAGGTTGCACACCGACAGACAAGCAACAATTCCTACGGGGAAATTGCGGTTCATACACGGTCTGATAGTCAGCTCCACTTCATCTCCTTGGTCCGTATGATTTGGCAGCGCAACAAGCTGATGACTCAGCATCCGCATAAGAATGAATTGCCAGTGCGCACATCCGCATCTGCTTTTCAAGGTCGCAAGAGATGAACACAAAAGGGATGGAGGGACCGGAGGAATTTCACAATGTTCGAGCACAGCTACATCCCAGTAAGGCGATTCTCGACCATCTTCAGACTGGCCACGTTTGTATCCATGCATGGATCCGTCCGGTACCTTTGATTAGACAAGCGAGTCATCCCAACTTATCCGATTTTCAGCATCAACATCTGCGATGCAAAATTTTACTTCAACTGTAGCACAGTTACTACGTGAGATATCGAACACACACGCACACGTATATTCTGGCATACACTCGACCGAGGTCGAGGTCCGTTTGTAGTGAGCACCGGTGCAACATACCCCATACCATACACTTAGCTTGCGGAGTGATCTCGGCTTCCGTTACACATATGAAGTCCCGTGCCAGTGGGTTATTCGGCTTTCTACACTATGAGTTTGCTGTGTCCCAGTTCGGCGCGCATCTCATTGCAGCGCGCGTTGCGAACATGCATGGTCTATACCTTCAGTTCACCTACACGGCGCTTCAGTGCGGAAACATGTTGTTCATGATTTTGTTGTAATTATTTTTAAATCAAGATAAGGAATCTGCACGCTTAGCGAAGCGGTTTATTTTCTTTATCCGTGAGACGCATTGTAGTGAGGCAAACTGGTTACCGGACAACCGAAGTACGTTATACTGTACGTACAATATACTTTGTCCAAAATTGCTAACCCCGGAGATTTGTACTTTTGATACATACTATCCTTGCAGTATAGATACTATGAAGCAGACTGATAGATGCGCAGGCGCAAACCGTCTACAAGGGTTGGCTCATAGATTCTCTCATTCAGGAAGCACATGGGACTGCGACAAATTTCGTATCTATATGCAAAGCTAGAGGAATCAGGTATTTGTGTTTACGGAAGGAACAGACGAGGTGCGTGACCGTGCCACATAGGAGACCAAATAAATGTACCATAGTCAGAAATCGACGCCTGTTCAGACATGAGCACTTGCGATGCTCTTGTCGTGCTTCTAACTGGGTTGACAGCTTGCCCAGCAGCGCTGAAAGCGTCGCAAAGGAAACCTCGACGCTGTTAAATCATCGTGAGCCGAATAAGTGCATGGGGCGCAAAACGTAACGGAGTGTTGACTATGTGAGTATAACAGATGAGTGTTGCACGTCCGAAAACACCGCATTATCAATGTACGTTAGCAATGAACAAGCACTGCGTGATGCTGATTGTTCAGGTGTGATGCAGCACTACCTGCGGGAGAGGATGAAGGTGTGGAAACTGACAAATAATTACCATCAATTGGTCTGCGTTAAATAAGCAACGAACATACACACACAGAGAGAGAAAGGAATAGCCTTGCAAGGTGGGTTTGAGACGAAAATTCCTCGGGACTTACTCGGAAAATGCTTGTTTTTAGGTCCAAATCAAGGAGAGAGTAGTCGGCGTTTCGGTCCCCGTTTGAATCAATGCGCACGGTCCCGCTTACTCCTGTGCAATGTAAGTACACCAGGAGGGAGAAGTTAGAAACCCTCATAATGGGGATGTGTTTACACACATAAACCTTAGCACGCAACTGGCTCCATTTTCCAGCAAAGTCAATCCGAATGGGCACTGAGTACGTGATGTCAAAAGACCCAGAAGTGCAAGTACTAAAAGAGTCATTTGCAACAAACCAGTGTCACTATGAGCTGCACACATAATTGATCAAGCACGCTGAACTGACAACACATGTTGTAGACGATGCCAACATCCGACTACAGAAACTAAAAGTAACGGGCCATTCTTACTACGCTCAAAACTTTGTAAAGTTTAGTAACCATGATTTTGGGAATAATTTACAGCGTACCACGGAGTTACAGACACTCCTGCTGATGCACTACTCGAACTTAAGGACAAGTAGCCCCTGCCCCATAACCAGTTCAGACAAACCAGACTTGAAATATCGCAATCGCTTCAACGCAGCATCTACCGACGACCTGTCAAAGATGCCAAGCTAATGTTAACGTGGTACGATGGTTTGCGTGACTCTACGGGCCATCGAGCTGCACTGCGTGGTGCCCTCGAAAGCCGCGAGACCGGTCAGTGGTTAGGCACAAGACAAACCTAGTTCTCTGGCCTTCATTGGTGGGTGATGGTCATGAAGTGGCGAGCACCTCTGTCACAATGGACCACTTTACTGACCGTTGGCTATCTCCGTGGGCGATGTAGATGGGGAAATGTGCAAAACGCTTTAAAGTGGACCACATCAGTTTTCCTTTATTGTGTCAACCCCACAATATGCTTCTACTCACCTCGGCAGTGATGTAGCGCGCTACCCATGGTCCCTCTGTGCGCGCACGAGTCCTGTGGCTGTCCCCGTGGAGGCAGCAGTGACAGGCAAATACGGAACCGAATACCGCCAACCATATAGATTGCGTTAATTATGCTTCAAGGCAGTTGGGACAGAGTGACTTACACGGCTTTTTCAGCAGTACACTAGATCTGATCAAACCCACTTGCTTCGATTTGCGCGGTTCTTTTCACCCGCTTGATATTCTTTGTCTATTTCGCGCATTTCTCTCTCCTTCACTTTCAATTTTCGTAGGTTGATATCCCCTGATTTACACTTACAATTGCCCAGGATCACTTTAAAAATAGATCCGAATTCCGACACATTTTAAACTGTGCAGCTCTAGTATTCTGATGCACATTTACTATTCACTTTACGTTTTATAATCGATCATATTCCCTCCTATTCAAGGTGGTGCCTCGTGCTGAGGTTGATGTTACAAACATCATACTACTTCACTACAGTTATGCAACATCGACTTACACTTAAAGTATATCTTCTTAGCCCAAGTAAAAGGGATTCCACTATATTTGATTTGCCCACTCAGGTTATTCCGCTGCATATTCTGTGGCAAATTTGCGTGTTTATTTTCCTTCCAATTAAATATTGGTAGTTTGATATCCTCGGTGTGGCTGCGCTTGAGGTGAACCTTGACAACGCGTTACCACCTCATCTATACTGCCTCCAGTAGACTGTGAAACGATGCTGCGGGAACAGGGTGCAAGGTCCTCGTGACAGTGCTAGGCTCAAATAGTGGTTCCATTCAGTGTGGAACGAACTACGGCCAACCACTGCTTTGTGTACGTCTGGTACACATGATTCTGCGTCAAGTTACTTGACCAGTTCGTCCGAGCCCGCAGCCCTAAAGCGTTTCAAGTGTGGAATCTCAAAACCAACCTCCGCTTCGGTGAGTGGTTCTAGCGACGCTGTCCATGGCATGTGGCTGGGTGTGCTGGGTACGAAGTTGAATTATCAGGAGATACTGAACTGAGAATGGAACATATCAGCCATTCTGTCCATGCGTCTTTTCAAGTTAGTGCTTTGTGACCAGTGGTCCAAATGAGACGGAATAGCATGCGACTATTTCAAGTGAGTAGGCAGTCTCTATCTTAAAGTCGTGTGGATGCCACCAAACTTCCAGATCTCCGCGAAGGCTTCGTTCGAGTTGTTGGTTGTCAGTGCGATGATGTTCATTGCGGCCTGATTATGCTGGGAGAGTTCTGCGGTAGTCGAATAGTGACAGAGCGCGCAGAGACCCCATCCTGCAAGTGGCGATAAGTTAACCGACAGACAAGAAGCTCCAATGGTGTTTAATGTTAATGAGCGAAACACAGGTAATGTGTTTGTCACTGTCAGTTGATGGATGAAGTGGGACGACTGTTCAGCTAGACTGTTCGTATCAAGCTTACAATGCTTCCGTCTCGGAGATCCTCCAACTCGCTTGCACATGTTCGCACAGATCAGTACGTGATCTGAATTAAGATACAGGGAAACATCGGTAGGTTGGTCACTCAAAGTGGTGGGTCAAATTGGTCAACGTCCGACGGTCCAAAACCACAAAGTTTACATGGTGAACGTTCAAGCAATGAAAAAACAGGTAAAGTTAGAGATGAGGAGACCGTTGTGAAGTGACTGTGTCCGTACGCAAGATGATTTCTAGTCTCGGATTGTGCTGAGTGAGTATCAAGTCATTTATGACAAGCGCTGAGCCAATTATGTGCAACATCCTCAACTAATGAATTTGTGAATGGTGTAAACGGTGCGTGCAAGACGGCTGTGGTGCACTCCGCTGTCGTGCTGTCCCTTGGCGCACCGGATCGACCTATCTTCTCTGCCGTAGTTGTCAAGCCAGAGTCGAACAAACTTAATGGATTCCAGGGCGTAAATGTAATCAACTCTCTCTCTCTCTCTCTAATTCTTATCATAAATTCATCCCATTGCTAGTGTGAGTTGCGTTGTTGTTCGCCCATTAGAGTAGCATTGGCCATTTGGTGTTACATTAAGCATACCAATTAGCATGTGTACGATCTGTTGAAAATTTTCAGATGCAGTTCGGACTCCAAAAAGCATACAGCCGTACTGCTAGAACCTACTACGTGTTGGACCAGAGGAGATTCCTACTTTCCGATTCAAATTCCAGCGAAAAATAGACAGCTTCAGCGTCTAAGAAGCAAATCATTTACTTCCATTCAGCTTCGCAGACATGTCTTCGGTAATTGGTAGCAGGAATTGATTGGACTCCAGTGCCGATCTCTGTTTGGTTGAGAAAGGTGAGCATCATTAATATTTTTGAACACAGAAAGGGAGCAAGTCCACGATGAGAAATCGATCCTGTCGATCGCTCAGGTTCGTTGCAACCAATAAAGCTTCTGTTCCACGGCGACTTGTAACGTCGACGGGACCTGGTGCCTAAGTCGAAAGCTCAGTCTTGCCCCACGAACCGGAGTAATTTTAGTCCTCATTTTATCCTATGTGCTAATTGAAATGTGGAAACATAGGTGTAGTTCGTTTAAACGTGGTCAAAATCGGTTTGACAGAGTTGGCGAACAGTCTCACGATTTCCAGAACATAAAGCATCGAGTAGATTTTAGCCCCCCAATCCAATCCGTGTCAACAAGGTTGATGACAGTACACGAAGCTGCGTGGAGTTCCTTGGAGGTGCATATCACTGACCATAACAATCAGCCTCTTCAACCAACTTCAATGATTCACCGGACGTACTTCAGGTTGTCCGTTCTGTGGTTTTAATCGACCAACTGCCCAGTTTGATCTTTGCTACTCGGGAAGTGAGTATACTACCGAATGCTGAACTTATTTGAAAGGACATTACGGTCCACCGCCAAATAATCTTTTTGGGCGAATCCCAACCCAGAATGTCGCAAGAATAGTTTTTGTCCTCGTTCCATAAAAAATACTGTTTTCTGCAAATTGAACCCGGCACGCAAACTTTGGACAATCACATGTCCGAATATTTATGTAGCCCGAACAGTGGTGTCTATGGCCAGTTGTCAGCATTTTTGACAATGACGCTTGCTGTAGGTATAATGCCACAAGAAATGCCATCAAGCAAAGTTCCAGCATGCAACCTAGAGTGCCCAATTTGCCATATACCACTCTACACCTTGTGCATACACAACGGGAGGGAAATTCTAAAGTCCCATGCTGCGAGTGGAAGTTTGAATCATCTTGGTATCACGCTTAAAAGTTATAAATCCATGATACTCAGAAGGGATCTCCTGGAATACCAAATGGGTCCGCTGTTCCAATTGGTGAAGAATGCAAGTCGCACACATTACATTTAAACAAAAGGCTGTTATACTGCTCAGTTTAAAATGTTCATATCCGTCTATATATTTTCTAAGCAGCCATGCTTGTCCTAAACTGCCAGTCGGTAGTAGGGCTGCGTCGGTCCCGCAAACTCCTTCTATCTGCTCATGCAGTTGGGACAGTAAGACCGAACAGTAGTACAAAGCTGCACCGGAAAGCTGCACTGTCAGTGCAGCAACGAAGCATGTTAATGCAGTAAAGATGAGATAAGTCGCACCGGTGTCAAAAAAGTCCATATTACAGAAAACACTTAATTGCACAATGCAATAAGAAGTTATGCGCCAAACATGTGCTAACACAATAGTCGAAGATAGCCGAGCTCCTTGGTGAAACCTGAGCCCCGCTTCCCAATTATTAAGAGCAAGAGCTAGACAAATGACACAAAATGAACACAAAAAGAGGAATGATCGCATTGATGAGATGCGAGGCGAAATGTATCCAATTGTGGCAATCCGAACTACCTACATTTCCGTGCATTCGTATTTTCCCGGACTATGTAAACTAACAAACTCACATCGATTCTCGCCCTCTTTATCTATCGTCAGCTGCGTAGTTGCTGATACACAATAAACTTCATCATCAGACCACGCTCCCAGGTTCCTCGACATTGTTCGACATTAGAACTCTAAGGTGAATAATAGATCTCGCTGCCCTCGTACGCGCATCGGGAGAGGAGTCCTAGCTGATTGATTGAGTTCCCAGAACAGTCCACTGTATCAAATCCGCAAGGATAACGTTGGCCAAGGTAACCGTAGAAGACGGCGCTTCGCGCCGCCTATTTGAGGTTTCGATTTATGCTCCAGCCGACTGCACCCGGTATAACACAGTACAG